CACGGCCTACTGTTTATTTTACTACTGTGTATTTTAAAATGACTGGCCAAATAATTTACATTTAAACTTAAGAATGTACAAAATGCAAAAGCTTCTGATATCTATGATATAATTTATTTCTAAAGTCTTTCACAGTCGTCACGCCGCTTACCACTACGCTGATTGTTGTGGGTCCGATCCCCACATGGGACGACACTGTATGTGTTCCACAAATTGTTGTTCTGAGTCTGGGTGTTCTTTGTATCAGTTTCATGTATGTTTGTAAAGTCCCCCGCACCACAGGATATATTCCTAATGCGATAGTTGTCTTTTATTAAATACAAAACAAACAAACATTTATACAACTTTATTGCTTACTAAAGTGTTTCACGTTTCCTAATAACAAAAATTAATATTTAAAAAAAAATATTAAGAAAGTGGCAGCCCTGAGCACCCTGAACTTCACACCTACCGGGAAAACTTCACGCCACAGTTGTCGCCTTACAAAATATTGTTTTCGGATCACTCCTGGGACTGCAGTTTCGTTTGGAAACTTTTTTTTTAACCTTCGTTATGTGTTACAATTTCCAGGTTAAAATCTAACTGAATGGTAATAGGGTTATGCTTTTTCTTAGTCGATAAGTACCTTTATTTACATGGCGACGTAAACATACTTGTCGCTTCATACTGTACGCCGTTCTGTGGAACAAATCGCAAGCGGTACTTTCGTACCGATATATTTGGGTCTTATCGGTACGATACGGCTAAGATTGAAGGTTCGGCAACCTTCAAGAAAAGAGCGTACTTCCATCTCAAAGGCAGCATCTCTGCATCATAAAAAAATCTCCACTGTGGAAAAACCATGGTACATTCGTATGATGACGGATTATGAATACGAAATTTCACCACCTCTATTCATCTGGAAGGAGTCGTAAGAGCCGACTAAGAGAGCAAACTACGTACAACAGCACTATAAAGAGAAGGAAAACTTGATACAAATCCTATACCAACCCGTCTGGCCAGCGTGATATAGTAGGCCAAAACTTCCTTTCTAAGCTATGTCCAGCAGTGGACTATTAAAGGATGATGATGATATGAAAAAACATCGTCGGTCAGGCAAGGTGACTATGGATTGTAGGTTATGGACGAACGGTTAATGTTAGGAATCTGTTAATTAATGAGCATGGTTACTTCAGTGACTGTGGTCTTCGAGTTGCAGGAGTCCATGGGCGGCAGTAGTCCCTTACCTACAAGCCTGCTCTGTATATCCAAAAAAAATATGAAAACATTTTAAATAATAAAAAAACGTAAGTCAAAACTAAAAGAAAATACCTTAAAATTTCTTATTTTTCTACTGTCTCATAACTAATTCAACAATCTGCCTTTACTTATTTGAACACTGAAATCTTTATTCGAAATACCACATGTCGCAAAATGTCTTCAGTATGACCTCATTAGTAATTCAGCACAATAGGGTATTACCCCATACCCCTCCACAAATGACACGAGGCCTCATTCCAGTGACACTGGAGACCAAAATGACCTTTTCAGTATAATGATTAATGTGGGCGGCTCAGGAAACTAAATTAATTAATCATATAAATGTATCATGGTCTACTCACATCACGGGAACTTAGTTGTAATTATTATACAAAGTGGTTTGTTTAAACAAAGAGTAATTTTAAAGACGAAATTTACAAATGTAATAATGGGTTTTGGATTATAAATCTGTAATAATAACCTGAAATGTTTCATACACGGCCATCTGATTCCATTTTTATACACTCATATACTTCAAAATCCATATGGCAGAGACAGACATAGAACAAATGATCGTGGTCATTAAACAATCTTTAAACCGGCTTAGGAATTGAACCAACGATCTCTGGCAGATATAGAATTATGTGTTCCCATGCGTTTAAGTCAAATTACATATCGCCCGACACACACTTAATAAATTGTCAATGTAACCGACATTGAAGATAAAGTGTGTGACGGGCCGTGGTTTAATTTTACGTGTTTTGAACAAGTAGTAATATCATCTAAGTAGTTTGTTTTCTCGTCTAAGTGTTTTGTATATTATACGTAATTATTTGAATGTTCCTAATCCATGCTTATATTATAAACCTGAAAGTAAGTATGATTTTTTGTTACCCCTGCCCGCCTAAACCCCTAAACCGATTTTAATAATTCTTTCACCAATGGACAATCAGCGAGTTACAAATGCTACTTTTCACCTCGATCACCGATATACATGCGGCAAAAGCTAGTATTATATAATTTGGACGAATATACCATTTTCCAGTGCTACTAGTAGATAAATTAAGCAGGACATGGCAAAATTTTATGGGTTTCTTGTTCGGGATACGGTACCCCCAAAATCATAATTTATTAAGTTCATAATGAAAAACATTAAATTACATTTTAAGCCATCAGAATTAAAAAAGCAACCTAACGTTCAGAAAGTGGTAATGGCTCTTAATAAAGCTGAATATTATTGTTACTTATTGGATCAAGGGGGCTCAAGGGGGCTCGTGGCTAAGGCGTAAGCAAATAGGTTAACACATTGCAATGTGAAGCAATCCTAGGCAGATCAGTCTATGATGGGGGACAATTTTTCAACACATTGGGACCCCTTCGTGCCTCGGAGAGCACGTTAAGCCGTTGGCAATCGTAATGGGTACTTGGAGGGCTCACAACAGTCTTTCTACAAAAGCTCAAAATCACTTACTTAGTTTGCGAAGGTCTGATGGCAGTTGCGTGTAAAAAATCTAAGTTCAGCCGTATCGTAGTAGACTTCAAGCCGACCCCAACACAGTTTGGGAAAATTATTAGAATTATCGGAGGAAATTATAGAAGAAAATATCATACGATATTAAATTAACTTTTAATATGTATTTTTGGCCTCTTTTACTGCATCCAAATCAAATACGATGTATCCTTTATACAAATCATGAACTAAATATATATTTACCCAAAAAAGGGAGCTCAAATTGTGTTACCATTTCGTTCATAATCATATTCATTTGCTACTTGAAACACGAGTACAGTGAGCTACAAGGGTAAAGCTTGGTAGAAGCAAAATGTAACATGTTTTAACATGTTTACAATATCAATAATAATATTCTTCTTTACGTAGAATTCACCGAAGCACAATAGGAGGATTATGACATCCTGCATGGGGAAGAAATTTGTGAATTTATTGAATATAAGAATAAGCGTAAGTCTGTGGATGAAAAATCAAATCAAAGTGGGAGGATGAGCAAAATGACGAATGAGATTTGTTAAATTATTTTAGTTTAACTAAAAACGTTTTGTCTTTTTATTCTGTTCTACCTATAAATTTCTTTTGTGCTTAGAAGAAATAACATATGAAGAGAATGCCGCATATTTTAATTCCTGATCATTTTAACCTATCTTGTAAATGTGTACAATAATTCTGGTCTATTTTATATGCGATACGAACTTCAAGAAAAGAGCGTAATAGTAGGTACGTAGGCGGCGGTAGTTGCTTTCCATCAGGTGACCCGTCTGCACGTTTGCCCCATATACCATAAAAAAAAAATTTTTGGAACGAATAGCTGTCTCAGTGTGATTTTTTTTTCAATAAATACTGTCATAGAGGGCAAAGCGGCCCGGTTCACCTGATGGTAAGTGACTACCATCGTCATAAACACCTGCAACTTAAGAGTCACAAGTGTTAACGTATTAGTATGCATATCACTTGCCTTATCCATCCCGCTTTAAAATAGAATTCATTTGTAGTTGATGACTTGTTGATACAAGTTCAACTTAACATAATCCTGTCGTGTTTGGACTTGTTGAATTTGTCTTGATAATTATAATACATTTAGGTGGCGTATAATAATTTTTGATGAATCCTTAAGTTGAATGATTTGTCACTCTACTCAGCGTAACTTTTTATTAAGATTTCAGAATTATTCTTGGCAAGTAGTTTAATTCTCATTGTTCGATCCTCCTGTAAAATCAAATCTTGTCTTTAGTTATTTTTACTGTCCAATGCCACACTCATTACACATGTGCAATTATATGCATTATTTTCATCTAAAGTATTTCCTAAAGAATATCATATTTATTAGATTGAGATATACTGAATGCAACACAAGGACACCCAGACTCAGAACAACAATTTGTGGATCAAATAAAGTGTCGTCCCATGTGGAGATCGGACCGACAACACTCAGCGTAGTAGTGAGCGGCGTGGCGACCGCTTTAACCACTACGCCATCCGTGCAATCAAATTACGTTGATTATACGTCCATCGTATGGTATCAGTATTAAACAATTTATTCAATTAGGTCTAATTAGAATTAAGTGCATCTGTTTAACAGAGTGATGATTATAAGATAACGAAGTGTATTTGATTGCAGTGAATAACAATTAATTTTCATTAATATAAAAAAATTAAGAGATTTAATTGGTTGCTTGGAAAGCTGTATGTTAGGAGACAGATAAGCCAAAAGCGACCAAGTTAGTAAAATTAGGGCCACGAGGCTTAGTTCAGCCTAAAAAAATCACAATGTTTTTAAATAATGTCCGCGTGGTGACGGATTCTGCGGTCACCACTCCTATTCATCCCGTGAGTGTCGCAAGAGTCGACTAAGGGAGCAAACTCTACATGACAATAGCACTGCAAAGAGAACGAAAACTTGAAGCAAACACTTTTTTTTATTTTCTTATGTGTGGAAACCCCCATGGGGGGTAGTGTGTCTGAATCGGACCGAAACCACACGGTGTGTCACTCTGCGCCTGTAATCCGGGCACTGCTATTACTAAGACATCCGGTTCCCTCCTAGCGCCTGCCCGCAATGGTGCGGGCACCATCCTCGGGTACATTCTCCATATAGGCGACGTCCCATCCATCCGCGGCCACAATCAGGGCGGCATGAGGGGGTAGTATGCGCGCCTGGTTCACCGGCGACGAATAGGGTCCGAGTGAAGGTTTTCCTCCTGGGCCCGCTGCTCTGCCTCCTTCTACGAGATAACATCTTTGCAAAAGGATGCGACCGCGGTGTAAGATCTCTCACTACCGGCCATGAATAACCACTCGACGCTGACTGGCTGGAGCACTTCAGCCGGAACGACCAACAAGCCCTCGTGGCTCGGCAAGCGGCCTCACGTCACTCGCGTATCTCTTCAGGCGGGGGCCGGAAGCCGCTATCCGCCCAGAACTCAGCCGTCCGCCGATGTACTTCGGCGAGCACTTCCGTCTCCAAATCCCAAGGGGGTGTTCCGGCCAAAAGCTATTCTTTAATTGCTTCTCACTGAATGAGTAAGGTACTGGAGCCCAACCCACGGATGCTGGAATGGAGACTCCAAGGCCTTGCCTGTGTTCTCCCTGTACCATAGAAAAACGCCACAACCATTTGAAAAAAACCCTGTAGTGAACCACGAAAAAATTAAATAAAACCGAATCAAGTATACCGTGCCTTTCTGATAAAAGAAAATGTTGTGAATAAATTACATAATTTTATTACATTATTTTATAATTAATTATGATTATGTCCGTATAGTGACGGATTAAGAATACGGAATGTCACTACCCCAATTCATCCTGTGGGTGCCGTAAGAACCGACTAAGGGCGCAAAACAACGCAGGACACCAGCACTGCAAAAAACTGCAAAGGCGGAAAACTTAACACAAACCCTATACCAACCCGCCTGGCCAGCGTGGTATAGTAGGCCAACACCTTCTTTCTAAGGAGAGGCCTATGTCCAGCAGTGGACTATTAAAGGCTGTTGATGTGATGATGATGATGATTATCTTATTAAGACAAAAAGGGAACAAGTAAGTTTGTCACATATGCTTTAGTACACGCCTTAGCACTTGGCACTCCGTATTTTTAGGTATTGAATAATCCGCTAATCCTGAAGGTCCTAATCAGGATAATAGGACAAACTATTTAAATTATTGCATTGTCATCGGTCCTTGATAAGTGTGCAAAGTTTTAACTTAATTCGAAGTTTTGAAGTGGGTCAAAATCACGTTCGAAGATTCCGCTACATAACACACTTATGACGATGATGATGTAATCCGACCGATTTCGGCCATGGCGACCACTTCGACCCCTTATGGGACCTGGCGCTGATGCGCCCGGAGATGGCTTATATAGCCGATTTTCGCAGCAAACTCACTTGCACAGAGTGGGCAGGTGAGCTTGCCGATCTCATAATTATAGTGAATGGCGGCGAGTGGACGCGCTTTGAGATCATCGCGCTTGGCATCGAGTTCAGCTAAACGCTGTTCCTCAAATTCGCGGATTCGCTTTTTCGTAATCTCGCGCCATTCCGGTCGCTGTGCTGCCAAAACCTTTTTAACACTTATAAAAGCGTGTTAAAAAGGCAATCCTTTCATTGAAACTAAGTGATCACATAAGTATTTTTATTTATTTTTAACAGGTGGTGTATGGTCCCTCCGCAACCTCTCCATCTCAGTTCCAAGAGCTGTCCTCTCCGGAGAAGGCCAGTCTGCTATCCTCAGATGTTCCTATGACTTGGAGGACGCTGCGCTGTATTCTATCAGGTGGTACAAAGCCGAGACAGAGTTCTACAGATTTGTGCCAAGAGAAATGCCACCTACTATGGTATTTCCGTTACCAGGGGCCTCTGTTGATGTAAGTTTTCATAGTTTTTTGCCATCCCGTTTTTATCTTCTCCATAAATGTTTTCCTTCAACTGCAACTAGTTACGATAGAGAGTTTTACTTCTTTGATCTAAATTAATTGCATACAAAGAACAAGACACGCCATCGATCAACTATTTATTATTACACCCACTGTAATTTATGTATTATCTGATCATATGTACTAGTATGTATGTATTTAGAAATATTTAAGTATGTCTGTCATCAGTCAAGTTACCATAGGCTCAGACAATTTGGAGATCAGACGCCAATATATAAGATGTGCCAAAACTGCCAAGTTATTATTGATTCATTCTCAGAGATAAGTTTCCCTTACGACTTCGCTCGCTATACTTTAAATGTGTTTAAGCCGGTCAACCGCCTTAAGTTTCTATTACAATTTCCCGGAAATAATATCTTTTCCTGGCTTAAACTTATTCTGTATTTATCTGTACCCATGAGAACACGTATGTTAAAAATTCATGATGATCGATCAGGCTTTCAATCGTAGCAAAGAAACTTACTTTTGCATTTATAACATAACTTTTGCCCGCGGCTGCACCCCCTCTTTTATTGGGTATCGCGTTAAAAGAAGCCTATGTTACTCGCTGATAATGTATCTTTCCATTGGTGAAAGAATTTTAAAATCGGTTTAGTACTTTAGGCGTGAAAGCGTAACAAACAAACTGACTTTCACATTTGTAATATAAATATGAAGGTATGGATGCGTATTCTCAATAACTTCTTTTTTTTTATTAAATATATTACATATAATATTAATTTTCATATTGAGTTTTGCATGTAAAATAAAGTTTATTTACTCACATAGAAAATATCATTACTGATAAGCGTTTTCATCAAAATTATGTTTATTCTGCAAGCTTTTTATCAAACGTTTTAAATAGTTAAAAAACATTTGAAGTAGAATGAAAACTGCTTTGATTTGAATAAAATAATTTGATTTTCTACATTAAAAAGTTATTTTCTTTAAGTGTTATTCAGATTTTCTATTTTATTTCTTTAAGAAATTAAAGTTTTATGCTTAGAATGGAAAGAATTACAATGAAAGAAATCCTCACAAAGTAACAACCGACCATACACGTCTCACACACGGTACTCTGATCCCAAATTAGGTAGAGCCTACTACTACTATGGTAACTATACTATGGTACTATGGTAACGAGACTACTGATAAACATATAATATTATAGATAAATTACACAAAGACACAGAACAAATAATCGTGCTCAGCACAAATAAATTGTCCTGGGTGGTAATCAACCCCTCAATCTCAGGCTCAGGGTCCACAACCACTAGACCAACAGACCTGTTAAATGGTTATCATACGAGTAATGTTTTTTTGTATTGTATCGTTTTTTTTTTTTAAATTTAATACATAAACGTTGTCTTCAATAGCTGACCCAGTCGGATCACCAGCAAGTCCGCATAGTGAACTTAAACCGTCGACTCAGTGGAGATTACCAGTGCGAAGTATCAGCCGACGCGCCGCTTTTCCATACCGACATTCGATCTGCACCACTTACTGTTGTTGGTAAGATTTATGTTTATTATTGTGCTATAGTATAGTAGTTTGGTATAGTAGGCCAAAACCTCCTTTCTAAGAAGAGGCCTATGTTCTGCAGTGGGCTGTTACAGGCTGTTGATGATGATTATGATTGTGCTATTATTAAATAACCTAGCTTTGCCTCATAGTTTAATCTAGGTTTATAGGTACTCCTTTGCTCCTAATGGTTTTAGTCTGATCTTCTTCGAGATTTGGACTATGATTATAATCCGATTGAACAAAAGGAAATTCGGGTAATATTTTCATAGAGAACTGAATTTAACCTAAAAATATGAAGTGTAAAAATGCGAACTGTTCGGCTTTATGAGATTAACAATGAAGGTGTATGTTGCCAGACAGTTAAAAGCATTGAATTGAATTACCTGCAAGTGGCTTGCATACCCGGTGGTTCGGCTCTAATCCATACCTCAATTCCCAGTGTGATACTGAAAAAAGTATGTTACTCTTTATGTTCTCAGTCCAGTTGACCTAACAAAACAGGAACAAACTATTTTCAGGGAGATTCCTGGAATATCAAAATCACGAAAACTTATTTCATTTCAGGAAGAAATCAATATCGGTAGAGAATTTTATTCTCTAAATTTAGTGAACGGATAAGTTTAGTAAATTTAGAGAGTAGCGTAAAGTATGACTAAGAGGTCACAAAAGTTAACTTATATGTGGTACGAATCTAATTAAATAAAAACAAATTGTAATCAAAGAAACTGTTTTTTTTTGTACAGTGTCGTCTAACAAACAAAACGAATAACTTATTATCCTCTGATTATACCACTGATTTGTATTTAAATTCTCAGTAACAACCCTTACGCTGAGGTTCTCCGTTCTATTTAGTGTGGAAACCCCCTCGGACACCCCCCACCGGACAATGGATGGGATGGCTATGTTGGCCTAGAACCGACAAAAGCCTATACGCCGTATCGGGTAGCAGCCGGTAGCAGCCGGGGAACTAGGTGTAACCTAGAAAAAAAAATCCCGGCCACAACGGACCCCGGGCCACCTACGGCTTACGGCGGTGTCTCTTTTCTTCTAAAGGTCGCATCGCCACCCCGGCCTATTTCTGCTACGGTGACAGCTGGCCTCACCTGTCACCGTCGGCACTTATGGAGGTTGGCCGAAGAGGATGAAGCCGAGGAGCCTCGAACTGAGACCGGGAGAGTTCTTAACCTCTTCCAGTCCCAGTTCGAGGCTGACATCCTCCTGAAATGATCATCAAAACGTCCGATTAGGAGGGTCCCCGTAACATTTAAATAACAACATACTCGTTCCTTCAAAATAATGATAAAATAAATAAAAATAAACTTTACAATATATTGTTATTGTAACGTTGACACAATATTGTTATTTTGAAAGCCACACAATTGTCGATGATATCTTATAAAATGTTGTAAGTGAAGTGCTATACAAGCCCTCAGAACTTTTTGTTGTTCGGTAAATAAATAATATTTGTACGGCTTAGATATTCTTATACCTAAACAATATCTTACTCATTTCAAGATTTTCTTTGTGTTGAACAGTTTACGTTAGCGTTTTGTAACAGACAGATTAAATAAAAACAATAAAGATATTTGTTATGTAGTTCTTTTTGTAAAATAAAGTTTTCCCGAGTTTAAAGATGGGGATCATATGCCAACACCATATACTGTTGTATTTTGGACACACATAGCAAAATTTATTGATGTTGTTAATACCGAAGACAAAGCCAAAATGGAACCTGAAGCCAAGAGATCTTTCACCACCAAAATGGAACCGACCAAGTAAAAGGCTCATCTTCCACCATATTCTACATGGTCGCAAGAGACGCGGACAGAAGTGGTGAAAACAGAGCCTCCGCTCCAAATGCAAACCTGGTGCTGATCTCAAGCATTAGAGAGTGAGTAAGTAAGTGACTGACCCAAGAGAAGAAGAGAAGATGGGAACAAAATTTTCAAGCTCTTACTTCTTTCTTTTTTTTTCTTCTTTAAAAAAGACAACTTTTGCACTAAACGCATATCCTGTGTCGGTGGTAACTTTACAAAAATTCATGAAACGGATACAAATAACACCACGACTCAGAACAACAATTTGTGGATCACACAGTGTTGTCCCATATGGGGATCGAACCCAAAGCACTCAGCGCAGTAGGGACCGGCGAGTTGAAGGCTTAAACCACTACTCCATTAGTGCAGTCCTTTTTCTAGTTGGATGAAATGTTATTACTTTCATGCAATTAAAAACACTACTTTCTTCAAAACCCGTTCTCATAAGTTCCTTAACTAAACAAATTCTGGCTAACACCAAGTTAGCAAGAATTTGTTCAGTACAAACTAGGCTGTAACACTTTCTGTATTTCAGATCCACCGTTTCGTGCTCCACGTTTGACAATATCGAGTGGCAGCTATGCGCGTGGTGACATTTTGAAAGCCAACTGTTCCGTCGACGAGGCGTATCCAGCCCCTAATATTACTTGGATGATTGATCATCACAAGGTAAGTATTTTAAATAAATAATATTGATACTGACCAGTTCATATGCCTATCCTAGTGTCCCCTTTAACTACCTCACCCACATACGTATACAGGTCTCCGGGAAGCTTTTTGAGCTACTGCAGCCTTAGTCAAGTTTCCTCAGCCTAGATTTGCGGTATTTTATTTATTTATTAATGATAACTTCGTGCACAAGTTGTACGCATGCAGACTTAATGCCAAATCTCTGCCAGTCGACCTTCGGGTGATGTAGAAAAATGATGCGGTATTATCAAAGCTTCCTCACTCGACCCAAAATGAAAACAGGAAACAGCTCTTAACGATTTAGATCAAATTTGAGTTTATTTGTAAAAAAAAAACGCCAATTTTGAACAGGCATTTTTTAAGTCGAGTCCATCAGGTACATTTTGTACAATATATGTAGTACACAATTTACAATAGTATACTATACAGACTTTTACAGATATTTGTGAAATGTTTTTTATACAGTAAGCTTTCATTTAGGTATTATTTTACAATTTTGTACCGAATAGATCAAAGAAACACCACACAAGTTTTCTTTGCAAGTAGAAAAACAACATATAAAAAATAAATTTACTTGATGGCTTAAAACACTTCGGTTTTTAACAAAATCAACCCTTTAAAAGTCTGAGATTATTTCGTTGTGCGGAGTTAGAAAGTTTTAGCATTTTTATTTTGACCGCAGCGAGACAATGGGTTTTATTCATGAGTTAACATTCATTCATTAGTGAGAGAGGATGCTGTTTCTTCGTCTTGCTTCGATATCTTTAGAATTGTAATGTAGAAAGTTCGGTTTTACAGCTGTGTATTTGTTTTAAGATGTATTTCTTAAAATGTATTGACGAAAGAATGGTGGGTAAATCTTTGAGAAAATAAAAAGGGTTAGTGTCCATCTTGATTTCTTGTCAATTACATACTTTTAGCTATGAGATCTGACACTGCTGAAGGCGAACCGGTCTACTCGTATTAAGTTCATATGTACAATTCAAGTTCCTTTTTTTTTTTTGGTTGACGGGGTTGAAAATCCCTTCGGACCGCCTGCTCCTCCCGACTCAGGTGACAGGAGCATATGGTGATTTCACTAAAAACCAACCCGACGGCCGGCCTCAGGTGTCCTACTCTGGGAGGACCCGTACCATGTTATTTCAGGTCCTCCCCGAATCGACATCATGCCTAATCAGGCCCTATCCCAGGGGAGAACACTTTACGCCCTCAATCACGGCATCGCGGCTCGATTACATCTTAATGCAATCAGGCTGACAATCAATCCCCTACCACAGCAATCAATCTGCCACCAGAGGTCCCCACCCTCTGGCGGCCCGCGGCTCCATCGATTACGATATAGGCCTAGAAGATACTGTATTTTATATTTAAAAAAAACTTAAATACATCAGCAATATGTGTAATATAATTTCGAATGTATTTCTTAACGTTGACCTTAAAAAAGTCGAAGGTAATAAGGTTAAACTTCTTTTCAAAAAAAAATCTTTATAATATTCACAACATTCGCCCGTATTTCAAATAAAACAGCTGCCTAATCCTCGTCAAGTCTAGCAATTGTCTGGATTTTGGAAATATCTTTAAAGATTTTTATACGAGAGAAAGAAAAGTGATAAATGCCAGTACAAGATGTAATATTTTATTTATGTTGGCTGATTTACGGAGTTTCGTGTTCACGCATGAAAATTATGACTTCGAGCGTTTTTCGCTTTTCAGAGTTATCGAATGAGTAAAATGTTTTCTTCCAAAAATAGGACTGTCTCTTACACTTTTTAGATGAATTGTTTCACTCGAGACATAAGTAATACCATTGACTATGTGTATATAAACTACACACATATCCAAAAGCTATGGCCATGTTTACGAGTTTGGCTAAAGCATTTAGGATAGTTCTGCTTTATAAATAATTAATATTAGTAGAAATAATATTAATTGGTACCTTCTTTTTTCCTTATTCTTTAACTGCAATAAATGCCACCAGTGAGCTTTACTTGAGTTAACAAAGCGAATAGAAAACTGGAAACGTGATATGCTATACCTTACACATCTTTTGTTATTTTATTAATTTTTCCTTCATTTGTAAACAGTCTGAGTTCTCCTTTTTATCATCCAAGAATTCTTTCATTTGAACGATAAATAACAAAATGTTATTCCTCACCAGATAGCAGAAACTGTTTCCTGGAGGACATCAGATCTGGACTTTAAAGAACGTGGCGCATTTAGCCACCTTGAAGTGACAATACTGGAAGCAGAACATTACAAAATGGGTTTGACTTACACCAGCTCTAGTTTGAACAGAGCCTATCAAGAAAACTATTATGGATTCGAAAGAGAACAGAAAGATGATAAAGAAACTTTAAGGTGAATGTGGATCATTGTATAAATATTTCTAAGATTGCAGTAAAAAAAAACAGCAAGTATTTGAGGTTCCTTTGAAGCTTAGGGTATACTTACTTATCCTGAAATTTAGAGTAATTATGGAAACTAACACTAATTTTTCGATTAACATAATTTTCAATACTCAATACTTTATTGCTTCAACAATTATAGCCCTGTCGGGCGCAGCACAGTTTGTTTGGGAGAGAGAAAAATAAAAAACAGTCTGCAAATGCTTTGAAATTCAAATAACATTTCTTGATCTTCATATATTCAGCTATTGTATTACTGACTATTTATAAGTACTGTATTTATTACGCACTATTATTTTAACACTTCTGCTTTTCTCCAGGTACACGCTTATCCCTCCAGTCAACGGTCAATTCACGCTCAGTTGTGTGGCTACAATATTTGATATCTACTCCAGAATGAGTGAACCCATGTTCATCAGGGAGGCTGATCCACCTTATCCTGCATCGGTAACCAGGGAAGATTCTTCAGGTTTGTAGTTATTTTATGGCGGAATAAATTCTTCACTTACAAATTTTAATTTTGAGTTAGCTGCAAAAAAAAAGTCATCCAAAAACTTTCATAACTCGTTTGCCACTTTTACAAGGTCTTCGATTTATCTATGGAGAAGTCCCAGTGCTGTGTCTGTACTCCATAAATTGGCCTGGAAGAACGAGTTTTAGATTTATTAAACTTACCATGACAAACCATGACTCTCTTGGTCCTGATTCTCCATTTGCGTTTGAAGGACAGCACACCCATTCTTCCGCTACAATAGTTTCCAATACGAGTATAGTCACTCGGTCAGACTCCTTGAAATTTGTATATTCTCCAGACAAAATAATAAACGAGGAATTCTTGCTTAAGGGTCTTGACTACTAGACGCATTGAAAATGCATATTTAAAAGATTTTATTATAATTTTGTTTTCTCTATACAGGTTCTTCAACCCCCCGCAGTGCCCTGCTGACGTGTGTTTGCGCTGTGGTGCTGCTTCTGCACGCGTTATGATCACGCACTGTTGCACACAAGCACACACTCAATTAAACTCGCTGATTGCATTGCGCGCGACTGTACATAGTAGGATTGTAGGTGTGATATTTGTATGTGTGGAAGTATGGTTTACTAAGCAGGATAATAGTGTACGAAAGTTATTTTGATTGATTTTTTATTTTTCTTAAATCTGTAGATTAAATATAAATTAAATAAAGATTACATAACATAAATGCAGTAAGTCTGGGAAAATAAAACAAGGTACGAAAAGTATTAAGACTATTAAGACGTTTTTTTTTATGTATTAACATGAAATGTTAAATGACATGTTTAAAAACGTTCCTAATAATTGCAAACTTTTCGATCTTTCCGTCTGGCGACGGATTAAGAATACTGAGTGTCACCTCCCCTATTCATCCCGCGGGTGTCGTAAGAGCCGACTGAGGGAATAAACAGCGCAGGACAACAGCACTGCAAAGAGAAGGAAAACTTGAAACAAACCCTATACCAACCTGGCCAGTTTGGTATAGTAGAGGGTGTTGATGATGATGATGATTTCGATCTGAATCTCAAAATGCTTCTTCACATGACGACGAAGTTTTAAAGTAATTAAAAGAGTCTCAATATCTATAAATGAGCAAATACAGTGAATACTTTATAGATTCGTCAGTGAATAGGCAGCAATTGAAATCAACTTTTGTTTTTCATATCCGACAAACGTAGAAGCCATCTATTGTCATGAGTTGTAATTATTCTACAAAGGAAAATAATGAAAAATACTTACTAAATTGTGATACCAAAAACCGGTGTTAAGTAATTGTTTCGTTGCCTTTCACTGAGTGAGTGAGGTTATCGGAGCCCATATCCCCTCTCCCGCTGACTCGAGCGGGAGGGACTCCAAGGGCAGCAACGCACGTGTAACTTTTGAGTTCCAGGTGTCCATGGGCGGCGGTAGTTGCTTACCATCAGGTGACCCATCTGCTCGTTTGCCCATAAAAAAAAAACATATACATAACACATTTGGCAATAAATAAAACATGAACTATAATAAATTATGGGTGTTAATTAGTGTGAAATAACCCAATAATAACATCCTTTATAATTCTTTAAAGTATACGTAAGTAATAAGGATAAAAAATGTGAAGATTTGTTTAGACGTTACTATTTCATTAGGAATTGATGAAAATAAATCAATTCTTTTAAGTATACTTAAGACTAGTTACCCAAGCGCGTCTCGCTGTAATAAATCCTGAGTGACGTAGAACAAACAGTATCGCAATCACTCCAAGGAAATTACTATTGACTCATCCGATAGAACGTAACTAGAAAAAACTCAGCAAGGATTACAAAGTGCTTGAACAATTCCTGCATTTATTATCCCTCTCACACGTACGTATGAATGGTAAAGAGTGAGAGAAAGAGCCGCGCGCAGTGCAACATAACGTAAGGAAACTGAATGTTGTGATAGATAATTAATAAAGCTAATATTTGTACTAGTTGTTAAGAAATATTGTATATTATTCTTATTTCAATGTTGCGAAATTTAATTATATGTGAATATGTAAATAAATTAATTAGTTACTGAAGGACTTTTGTTTTATTCCATTCTCTTCGGAAATTTCATTTAAGGGTAAAACATCTCATCTGTTCGACATAGTTAATAAGTCCAAGAAGACCGGTTGAAGGCGGCCTGCATCCACTGTCGACCTACGTTTTTTGGTTAATTCGGATAACTGATTACATGTCCAAGTTTATATATCTATACTAATATTATAAAGCTGAAGAGTTTGTTTGTTTGTTTGAACGCGCTAATCTCAGGAACTACTGGTCCGATTTGAAAATTTCTTTCAGTGTTAGATAGCCCATTTATCGAGGAAGGCTATAGGTTATATATCATCACGCTAAGACTAATAGGAGCGGAGCATAAATGAAGAATGTTTCAAAAACGGGGAAAATTTATTACTATTGAGAGACGCAGACGAAGTTGCGGTGGTCAGCTAGTATATTATACACTCACACCTTATATCTCTGCCAACTGACCCATGCAACTTCGTCAGCCCAAGTCTCTCTCAAAAGGAATACATTTTCCCAATTTCCGCAACAATTTTCATTTTTATAGAATCGGCTCTTGTCGGTCGTAGTGTGAAGTTGTATAGTCTATAGCCTACCTCGATAAATGTGATATCAAATACCTGCTAAAAGATTTTTTTAATTCGAACCGGTAACTCCTGAAATAAGTGCGTTCAACCAAACAAACCTTTGCCTTTTATTAGTAGGTATAATGTCATAATATTAGCGATTCCATGTGGTGACGTATTAAGAATACAGAGTGTCGCCACCCCTAGTCATCCCGTGGGTGTCGTAAGAGGCGACTAAAGGAGCAAACTACGTAGGGCAACAGCACTGCAAAGAGAAGGAAGACTTGACACAAACTCTAAACCAAACCCGTCTGGCCAGCGTTGTATAGTAGGCCAAAACCTCCTTTCTAAGTAGAGGCCTATGTCCAGCAGTGGACTATTAAAGGCTGTTGATGTGATCATGTCAGTAGGTATAGATAAACACAGAGGGTATTAAACGCCCTAACTTTACCAATAAGTTGCAAGGTAAGCATATGCATAAGCATCAGGGCGCTTTAGGAATTAGACGGGAAAATTGCGAGTTAAATATGAAAGGAAAAGTTAATAAGCTGGAAATGCAATGGTAAAAAAGATTTGACTGCACAGATGGCGTTAAACGATCACCTTTTGCATACTACCGTGCTGAGCGTTGTGGGTTCGATCCCCACATGGGACAACACTTTGTGTGATCCACACATTGTTATTCTGAGTCTGGGTGTTCTTTGTATCCGTTTTGTGAATGTTTGTAAAGTCCCCGCGACACAGAATATATTCCTAGTGAAAGAAAGAAAAAACGTTTATTTATGCAATAACACAACACTTTAGACAATTATGCAGCTTGAATTACCACCGATGCCAAAAACGGACCCATCAGCTTTGTGTCAGCTTTGGTTTTCAATTGGGCCCAAAATGACACTATGCGTAAAACCAGTTGCATTATTAACCATAACATATAGCAATGATATATAACAAGACAAATAACAGATATACAGATCATGCCAATATACACTACGATATACACAACAACATAAATCAATAAAGTGTGGACACTCTTTTCCCTTGATAGCGCTCACCAGCATGCGCCATGCACCGCTTCACGTTAAATATGGGAAGTGTTCACATTGACCATATCCAGTTTCCGCTGTGCGTCCATGAGATATTGCCGCAATCTATATTTAAAAGTGCCGATCGTATTTGACAATCTTATAGGCGGCGGTAAATTGTTCCAAATCTTTTAGGCCGCATAGTGCTGGAGTTGGTTTATAAAAAAGAGGTATTGCGTGTACGGGTGCAATCCATCCGTAGGAATACAAGCAATCGTTCAAGTAGATCGAGGTTGCGTACCTGAAACTCAAATTGGCTGTTGCCGGAATGTATATTTATACATTTATACACTTATATTATACACGCTTAGATCCCTGAAGCAGAGGCGTACTATACGCTCACATTAAACCGACTATAACTTTAGTTTCACTTACGAAATACAAGACAAAGCTATTGAAGTAATAATAAGTAAGAACTTGTACTATGGGTACTAGACAACTCATATAAATACATATATACTTTTTTTTTGTAAATACATACACATTATACAAAGAAACACCCAGACCAAATCAAACATCAAATGTTCATACACACAAATGTTTGACTTGAGCGGAAATCGAACCCGCGACCTTTGGAATAGCAGTCCGTTACACAAACCACTACGCCATCCAGTCGTCGAAGTCAAGCGAACACATAATATATTTCAATATACATAAACACTTCCCATACTTATAAATGTGAAAGTGAGTTTGATCGTTTGTTTGTCGCTGTCACGTCTATACCACTACACCGATTTTATAAATTCTTTCACCAATGGAAACGGCATTATTAGCGAGTAACATAGGCTACTTTTTACTGCGCTTATCGACTTACACGCGGGCGGAGCCGCAGGCAAAAGCTCAGACACAGAATAAACGATCGTGCTCATCATACAATTATTTGTCCTGGGTGGGAATCGTATTCACGACCTATGGCTTATCAATCGGAATCGCTAACTACTAGACCAATAGGTTTGTCTACCCTTTCTGCTTTCCCCTAAGGGGATAAAGAAGTGAGTATGTGTATGATTTATGTACGTAAGTTGAGATATGAACCGGAGTATTTTTTAATTTAGTTTTTAGTTTGCAAAAAACCAATCCCCTTTACAAGCTAAATAGTCGACTGAACAAAAGTTCCCAATTGTTATCATATTATAAATACAAAAATAACTCTGTCAGTCTGTTACGCTTTCACGACTCAACCGCTGATCGATTTTGATTCACCATGGATTTTTTTTTAAAGGTCTACTAACAACCGAAATTACTAGTATTCCCCCGTTAACCCCTTTCCGCTAAGCTAAACTGCTTGTGTTAGGAGTTGGTTCACGTCGGTAGTGTACTGGTCAGGATTCGAACCCACGACCTCGACCTTACTCTCGACTCTTTAACCACTAGGCTAACGACGCTTATCTTGATTCTTGAGGAAAGAAATGGGGTACTTCTTACCACGATCACCGACAAACACAAGCGCGGAGCCACGGGCGAAAGCTATTAGATTAAATTTAGCTCACTTGGATTAATAATAATAATAGAAACTTACATACAGTATGCAAAATACTTTACTACTGCGGAACCCTTAAAATTGCACGTGGTCCGAAACGTTCTCTTAGCACGTAATCGTCACCATCACTAATAAAAATGTAAACTATCTTATTATTGACTGCAGGCGCCATTTTGACGTAAAAAGGTTGCCCATAAACGAGTAATATATCTGGTTTTATCTCTGATCTGTAGCAATTGGCTGCTGTGTTACTATAACACGATTGAGTGTAATGGGTGCTTGAATGAAGAGGGAAGTGGTTTCAAAAGGATTATGGTA